GGACACACGGCGGCATTTTGAAGCAGATGGCAGCTCGTTAATCAATTTCCACAAACAATTAAGACAGATTTTCGCCTAATTTACTCACTGACAATGCGGGGCTGGTGCGGTGGCATCCGCTGGCATAGGCCAGACAATGCCCGCACTGCCCGCTCACCACAGCTGTGGAATACACCTCATCAACACACAACACTATAATGGAGCAGGCGGAGGGAGACTAGGGGTCTTAGCACACCTCTGTTGTTGCTTGGCTTCCTGGGGCTGGAGGCAGGAGATCTGACCGTCTGGTTGGGGTCTGGGGTGGTGGGTTGCTGCGCTCAGCATTGGGCAGGGGAGGCTGCTCATCAGCACTCCAGCAGAAAGGGTCAAAATCTGGTTACCGGTGATGGCTGTACCCAATGTGCAGCAATACCGGGACCAGAGTGAATAGGGTGTGTATGGGGAGCATGAGTGGGTGTCCGGCGTGCATTTTTGTAAATCTTTGGTTGTATGTGCATGTGTGAGCATGAGGGAGGCAGTGTGTGACTGTGTTTGTGTATGAATGTATATGTCAGGTGGGGCCTTTGACTCCTCCCCTCTCCTGGGACTTCTTTTGATGATATAGATCTTCGTCTCCCCTCCCCCTGCCGCACCTGGTGTGGGGTGTGGTGCCTTGGTTTGCCTGAGTGTTCGTGGCTCCTGGGTCAGGGGGTTTAAGATTTTTGGCGTCTGCCTGATCAATCCCGGTGGCTGTCTGGTGGGGTCTGGTTCCCTGGGCTCTGCTGGGTCCCCGGCAGGGGTGGTCGCCCCTGGGTCCCGGGTCGCTGGGTCCCGGGCTCGGCCGGCTAGGAGCTGGGAGGCTGCGGGCGGGCCTGAGGGCTTGCCGCCGATATCTCCCGGGACTCTGCCAGCTGCTGGTTGTGGCCCCCCGGGGCGATCCTCTGTGCCTCTCGAGGGGGGCAGGGGCCTTCCTAGTTGCAGTCTCCTTGGGGTTCCTGTGTTCTGGGGCAGCGCCTGGATCTCTGGGACTTGGAGCTCGCCCCGTCTCCTACGCATCTTTGGGGGCAGATCTGTGGTCCCTCACACTCTCTATTGGACGCTCCTATAGATAAACCTTACATAAACAAGCGCGTGTACACACACAGGTGCTCACATGGTGCTCTCAAAAGTATGGGCTTGGGCACGTTCAACACATGTCTTAAGGCTGTCGTTGCCACTAAATGCACTATGATTTATTATTGTGTGATTGTTCAGTTAAACAATGTTGATTTTATATTTAATCATCAGGTTGACGCAGTGATAGCTTGCTCCTGATGTATTGTTGTGTGTCCCATCTTTTTCTACTCTTTCTCTTTCTGCAGGTCTAGAAGCAGACTCTTGTTCATTACTGTGTATTTTTGTGGACCCCCCCCCCCCCCCCCCCCCCCCACCTTTTGTCTTTTCCTTTCTCTTTCACCTCTGTCTCCGTGTCTGGTCAGAATTACAAAGCATTCAAAAACAATAGCAATAAAGTTTTAAGTATCAGGCGTGACATTAAAAGCAGACGCTTTGATGCTCTACCTGAGAGTAAATCTGTAAAGCTTGTTACCAGCATTCACCCCGGGTTTCCACGGGAGCCGTCAGCAGCACGTTACTGCAGCAGCACGTCTTGCTCGCGTAAGCTGCCGCTTGGCCCTTCCCACGAGACACGAAGCAGCAGGGGAGCAGCTGTCACCGACAGAGCACGAAGTCACACGAGTGACTTCGTCAGTAAACACAACAACAAGCAGGAGAAAATTACAACATGGTTTGTGTTTTATGTTCTGTCTGTTTCATAATCGCCAATACGGACCTGAAAAACAAAGGAGACCGCTAGCTAGGTGATAACTTCTCACGGGGCCGCACAGTTAGTAACTTTTTTTAAAGTAAAGCAACCGGAAGGCAGTACGTTCTTTATTCTGAAAATCTCGGTAGCTTCTCTCCATTTCCAAATGCCCCAAAAATGTCGAACTTGACCCGTTTCAGAGGCGTCGCGTGTAGAAAATAGGACCGGCGCGTAAGGGCCGCGACATGCTGCTCCTGAGACGCGGCCGACTCGCGCTGCTGACGGCTCCAGTGGAAAAGGTTCTGTTGACCACAGCGGTTCCTATCAGCAGCTATGACGTGCTGCTGCAGTAACGTGCTGCTGACGGCTCCCGTGGAAAGCCGGGGTCAGACATCAATTCTGTTTGCTTCACAGCCAGACAGGACACGGTTAAAAAAAATAAATAAATAAAAAGTAATGGGTTAGATTACTCACTACTTGCATCACCGAACTGGAAAAACATTAAACTGAGCGACTGACATATGAACACCTTCATTCACATGGAAACACCTCCTCACCACTGACAGCTCCACCTCTGATACCCCGCAGCTTACAGTCACCCTGCAGTTAAGTGGTTTGTTCAGCTTGGCCCATTTATTTTATGGGAATTATCATCTTTTACTGGGTTAGAGCATTTGTAAGCATCTGACCACGTGACAAACACAGCTATAGCTAGCTAGCTTTGCTGCTAATTTCTGTTGCAAATACAATATTATGTAAATAACCATGTAATGTAAAATGTATGGCCCTCAAAAGTTTATAAAACATAACATAAATTAATTGTTTTTTTAATAGCTTCAAAGTGGCCTTGGCCCTACTGTGTCTAGCTGTTAGCTTATCAATCAGGTCAAGTTTCCAAACTAAGGTTGTCTATCTACCTATGTTGTTTTGAGGTTACAGTTTTGTACACTGAAAGCTACAAGAGGTTACTGTAAGATAATAGAAAAAATGCTGGAAGTGCTGTAAAGGTGTAAGAAATTTTATCTGGTGCTCTCACTGGTGCTCTTCAGCCAAGGGATCCACATAAATGTTGGCAAAAGGAGATCTGAGGCACTCAGGAGATACAAAAATAAAAAGCCAGTATTAGTACATGGCTTAAATAGTTAAAAACATAAATGCCGACGCGTTTCAGTCCACAGGGCCTTCGTCAGGGCTCAAAATGTTTGTAGGTTCTCTCAGGCCCTGTCCACACGTAGCCGGGGATCTGCCAAAACGTAGATATTTTTCTACGTTTTGGCCTGTCATCCACACGAAAACGGAGTTTTTTCACACGAAAACGGATCTTTTTAAAAACTCCGGCCAAAGTGAAGATCTGCGTTTTCTCCGTTTTGGGTGTCTGCGTGTGGACGGACATAACCGGAGTTTTAAGGTCCGCAGCGTCACTTTCCGCGACAAAAAATGCTGACATCACGTGTGCGACCTGTGTTTACACTAGCCGGCATCATGGATGCCCTCAGAGCTAAGCTCTGTCACTACCCGATCCATCAATTGTCCAAGCGCTTTTTGCTTGTTTGTTTTTGCAAGCGGAATTACTGCTCCTTGCGGAAGACCACAGACGAAGGACGAGGTTAAGAACGGGGGAAGTACTGCCGCCTACAGGTCTGGCATGTCCTTAACAACGTATTTATCCAGGTAGGTGTGGACAGTTTTTTTTAAACGAGGTGGTGTCGATGCAAGTTTTTGGAGGGGCGGATATTCGTTTTTAAAAAACCCGGCTACGTGTGGACTAGGCCTCACTTTCATGTTAAGAAGGCTATCAGTGACACCTGCTGAAGTTGGGCAGGTAGACAGCATGATGATTGGATGACCAGTATAGCACAAAAAACTTTTTACATCTAAACAATCCTATTGTAAGGATGAATACTTACAAATATTAAATTACATTTAGAGAATTTGAGAAAAAATTATAAGTAAATATGGTACAAAAATGGCAAGAAAACATAAAATTACAAATAAGGAGCAAAATCTCATTCTCCATTAAGACCGGGGAAATTAGTAGCTGTTAGTGTATAAATCCAAAATGATTCTCTTTGCAAGAGTTTTTTAAGCCTATCTCCTCCTCTAATTGAATGTTTTATACGTTCAATCCCTGTGATTTTAAGAGAGTTACAGCTTCCATGATATGTGTCTTTATAATGCACTGCCATAGGATACAGAGGATTACCAGATCTGATTGCTTGTTTGTGTTCTGCAAGTCTTGCTTTTAACTTACGTTTAGTTCTTCCAATTTAGAAGCAACCACATGGGCATTCTAGTCTGTAGACCACGAATGAAGTATTACAGTTGATGAATGTATTAATGTAAAAAGTACGTCCTGTGAAAACATCAGCTAAACAATTAGTATTAGTCATGTTGTCACAGTGAACACAATTTCCACATTTATAGTTGCCTTTTCGAGTTGATAGCCAGTTTTTTGTTGCTGTGGAGGAAGGTGACTTTGAACAAGTTGATCATTTAATGTTGGGGCTCGTCTGAAGCTGATAGTAGGAGTATCTGGGAGAATTTCACTAAGAATACTGTCACTTTTCAGTATGTCCCAGTTTTTTGTAATTATTTTTTTTTATCTTGTTGGCTTGATCACTTAATTGGGTCACAAAATAAACACCATCTGATCTTTGTTGGTTCTTCTCTTTAGGAATCAATAGTTGTTCTCTTGGCAGGCTTTTAGTCTTATTATACAGTAAGATGTCTGTTTTATGTTCACACAAAAGAATAAAAAAAAGAACGAAGCCTGCTTGAGTAGGTCTGCGTGTGACACGTTATCCCCGGTTCAGCAGGAACGAGCGGTCTGGTGTTCACCACTGAGGCGCAAATTGAGAAGCACTTTTGTGGCAGCTACAGAGGGTCTGTAATTACTCTCCACGGGGACCACATTAGAACATGGAGCCACTATCACTGCCGTACAGCCACATGCTTGTTGCTGCTGCATCAACCTCACTGCAGAGTTCAGCACACACCAGGGCTGCAGAGATGGTTGAGGAAGATATTTTTTGTAATATATTTACAGCAAAAATACCATGTTAGAGTGGATAATGACAATATTGCTACACATTAAGGCTAATGGATGGATGGATGGATGGATTTTTTTTAAATAAGGGAAATTTTTGATTTAGAAATTTTGCAGTAGATTTTCTTTGATCAAACAGAGAAACACAAGCTGTCATAGATTTTATCTGACCTTGCTGGTTGAGTTGCTGTGTGCTTTTGCTCCACTGCGACAGCCCTACAATGGCCACCATCTTGGCACCCAAACTGGAGCGCCGCTTCTTGTTTCCAGCCAGTGACGATGAATCTGGACCCCCGTTGCTGGGACTTTTGTCCAGGCTGTACATGGCCCCTGAGATGCTGGAGGAGCGCACCACATTTCTAGCTGCCTCACTCAGCCCACTGAGGCCGCTCAGCCCACCTGGGCTGGGCACCTCCACGGAGCTGCTGAGCATCATGGTCCTGCTGAACTGGGAGGGCCGATGGGCTGGTGGGGACAGGAGGGACAGGCCTAAAGGTAGAGGATGAGAAAAGGACAGGTGAGATTCTCTGTTGACGAAGGACTAAAGCAGGCAGGACTTCTAAAGGCTTTTAGTTTTAAAACCTGAGAAAACAAACAACACAAAGGCAGGAAAATACAGAAATCTATACAGACTTCTGCAACTAGCCAGGAAACACACACACACACACATGCACGCATGAAAACACACACACACACATGTACACATGAAAACACACACGTGCGCGCACACACACAAACAAAAATGCACACACACATGCATATGCATACACAAGCAGACACACACACACTTGCACACATGAAAACACACACGCGCGCGCACACACACACACACACACACAAATGCACGCACACATACATATGCATACACAAGCAGACACACACATACACACTTGCACACATGAAAACACACACGCTCGCGCACACACACACATGTACACATGAAAACACACGCGCTCGCGCGCACACGCACATGTACACATGAAAACACACACGTGCGCGCACGCACACATAAATATGCAAACACAAGCAGACACACACACATGCACACATGAAACCACACACGAGCGCGCAAACACACACAAGCACGGCTGAAAACACAACCGCGCGCGCGCACACACACACGCACAAATACATATGCATACACAAGCAGACACACACACACATGCACAGAACAGACAAACGCACACACACACATACATACATGCACATGCATGCACACGCATGTACACACACACACACACATGCATGAACACAAACACACACTCGCACACACAAACATACACGCACACAAACATACACGCACACAAACATAGACGCACACGCACACACACACACCAAGTGCACTAAATGTCACAGCTGACCTGCTGTTGAAGGGTGACCCTGTCAGCCTTAATTCATCTCATGTTTTTGTTTGTTTATTATTTATTTCTACTCTCTGACAGATGATCAGACCTGGCTGCTGTGAGAGTTTGAAGCTGCAATGGCAAATACTTTGATCACATGGTAATACAGTCTGATACTCTTCACAATGCTGTTCCTATCTTTCTAACCCAAAGCCTTCAGATGAAGCATCAGGATTAGCACCTTCACCAGAAAGCTGCCATGTGGAGTCCTAGACATGTCTGCTGGTGGAGGATCTACAGCGGGAAGGGTCAGTTTTATTTCTGTTACATTAAAATTACTGTTATTTTTATAGACTTACATAATAAAACTAATTATTATATAGTTGTTTAATAGTATTATACTGCTGTGTTCTTAGGAATCACCAGATGTTCTCCGTGATCTGTCCTACCTATAAGCTCTGGATGTGCTGGACACACCAGAAGATCAGACTACTCTAAACTTCATGGATTCAGCTGCATCCTGATGTGGTTCAACACAGGCAAGGTGCCATTTAGGCAGGATTTGGTAGGATTGTCTCCAATCAGGACTCCAACACACTTCCACCAGAGCTTACAGAAGGGTTAACGCTCTGTCACGCTCAGCGTAGCCCTGAAGACCTCAGCTACAATCTGCAAAGACCACCCATGTTCTGGCTGCTGGGCCCCATCCGAAAGCAGTCAAACACTCCCTCACTTTATCTATTCTTTTAGAAAGCCTCTCTCAAAAGCTTTATACAGAAAAGAATGCAGTTCAAATCAGAGCAGCTCCAAGCCACAAAAATAAACCTTATGCTGGTTCTGGGAGGAAAGTGGCCAGCTCTGTAGAACTCATCATGACTGCGAGTCGGTCCATCAGAAAGATGGTGCCAAAAAAAAAACACGATGCTTCCAACTTCAGAGCCGTCCAGATAGCGTGTCTGGAAAACCAATGTCTGCAGGACATGAACGTATGCGAGAGTTTAACGGATAACAGAACTCTGTGCAGCTTTACTTTGTATTAAATTTACATTTTGTTGATATTTATTATAACAATAAAACATCAGAACAACTTTAGAAATGACGTGTTTAAGAAGCATTAATTCAGGTGAAACATCTCAAAATCTTCTAAGTTCGATCTGTTCTGTCCCCTCTCTGGGTGAGGTGAGGGCAGCTCTCTACTTTGAACACACAGTATGAAGAGGAGCAGGTAAAACAAGCTGGTGAGAAGGTTGCTTGAGACAAAGAGCATTGTTTTTGTCTCCAGAGGGAGTCGGTGAGAGAGTGAGGAGCTAGTAAGCTGAGGAAGAGGAGAGGCATCATAATGAATGGACAGTGAGAGGCTCGGCAGGAAGCTTTCAGGGGGCAGCTCTCTTCCATCTCTTTATCTGAAGGTGTGGTTCCCTGAAAAATAATTTATTAATGATTATTTCTGATTATAATAGATAGATAGATAGATAGATAGATAGATAGATAGATAGATAGATAGATAGATAGATAGATAGATAGATAGATAGATAGATAGATAGATAGATAGATAGATAGATAGATAGATAGATAGATAGATAGATAGATAGATAGATAGATAGATAGATAGATAGATAGATAGATAGATAGATAGATAGATAGATAGATAGATAGATAGATAGATAGATAGATAGATAGATAGATAGATAGATAGATAGATATTTTTATTCGGTCAACAACAACAATTTATCAATTTTACATAAAAGTAATCAAGCAACCGAAAAAAGGAATAGGTTGAAGCCTAGTGGCTTATAATTAGCCTATCCTTAACTCCCACAGACATAATCAAATCCTTAACCAAGGCTGATAGCTAAGATGCATAACATTTAAAGAAAAACAATGATAAATCAAGAAATCAAATCAACACAAGGTTGGACATCAAACTAAGTTTCTATAACTTTGGAAGATGCAATTTTTTAAAATTTTCTTGAAAAACGACAAAGAATAACACATCTTCAGTTCATCATTAAGTCCATTCCATAACTTCACTCCCAAAACCGACACACATCTATACTTCGCATTAGTTCTCACTTTAGGTATTTCAAACATATAAGACCCCCTCAAATCATATTTTCCTTCTCTTAATTTAAACATACTTAAAATACAAATTGGAACATTCTTTTTCACCACTCTATACATCATTTCTAAAGTTTTAAGATATATAATGTCCTTAAATCATAATCATTCACTCTGAGTGTTTCATGCAGCTTGAACATGAAAATAGTCTCCTACACCTATCTCCTGCATTAGCTTCTGATAGAAAACAGATCTACGTCACACTGTCACTTAACCTTCATCGACTCACCCATCTTGACTCACAACGGGGAAGGCTGTTGTTGGTTTAGCGTCCAGGAAACAGCAGAGAACATTTAGTAGAAGCTAACCATTAGCATTAGCAACTCTACCACACAGCAGAACTCCTCCGGGCGTGTGTTATTTGTGAAGATAAAACATCAATGCTGCAGAGCAAACGGAGTCAATGGTAGAGTCGTGTTGCTGTTAGCCAATCAGAGGACAGATGTCCAAAATAAGGCTCCAAATCCTGTCGTCTGCTGCCACGCCCTGCTGCAGCAGTCATGTCTGTGTAAATCCAAGCAATTCTGGGCTACTTTTGCCCCGAGTACAGCCTGTAAGGCATTAATTCTCTGAACTAAGAAACTCAATATTTCCTCCCATGTCAGAAAACTGCCCCGCTTGCCTCGCTTCGGTCCTTCCTGAAAAATTCCTGCAGAGTCAGATTTAACTTCTTCATTTGTGAGACAGTTCATCCCTAGCATGTGCCCAGAGAAAATCTATCAAACAAATAAAAACTCATTAGAATAAAGTAATTAAGTATCATTAAGATAGCATCAGGCAATTGTGTTTTTTTTCCTAACTAATCTGTGATAAACAGCTGGAAGTTAATCAACATATAACCATCAGCAGAAAAATCCAAATAGATTATTTTGATATTATTTTACTTTATCTAGATGCTATTTGGCTCTGCTAGCCTGAATCTCCCACAAAGCAAATGAAAGTGGAAACTCAGCATGTCAATACAGTTCAGCTGATAGTGATTCTACATCATTGATTATTCCACTCAGCCAAAAACAGTTTCTTTACTATTGATGTTGGTAACTGAGCCGTTTACCGTAAAAAAGCTGCTGTTTAAATAATTATGAATTAATCAGAGAACTGTGCTGACACCATATGCTAGGAAAAGATGCATATATGATCAATAATTTCAATTAAGTGAGACTGTCAGTTGAGACAGGAAAAAGTTGGTTTAGAGTGTAATTACGAATGTCAAACTGAGAAAAATGACCAGAAGAAGACAGCTTTTGATCCTGTTTCATGTGTGTGAACCGGTACATTGAGAGGTGCTAGAATGAAAATAATCACTAGAAATTAAAATAAATTCATAAACAATGACAGCGGTGGAGTAGTAAGGACATCACAGGAGCACTTCCTGTCAAGACTATCACAGAAACTTCACACCAGGCTGTGATACTCGACCCGGCGCCTGGCCTGAGTTTGTGTGTGTGTGTGTGTGTGTGTGTGTGTGTGTGTGTGTGTGTGTGTGTGTGTGTGTGTGTGTGTGTGTGTGTGTGTGTGTGTGTGTGTGTGTGTGCGTGCGCAGCTATATCTCCCTGATCATAAGGGCTCTGTTAGGCTGAGAAAACCACGCCCACCAATAAGAGTAATGGTGCCAGGTAAGAAGACCAGGAGCCAAATGGATCAGACACAAAACTGCCCACAGAGAAACCAGAGTGGTGCAAACACACATGCTGCACTGAATGTACATGCCAGAGGGTGGCAATAAAAAAGAACATTTGGAATTATTGACGAGGGTGTTGATGTTTAGGTACTCAAGCTTGTAAGGATGTATGTGTATTGGTGAAATTCTGGCAATAAAATCTGTATCACGATACAGGAGAGAGTATATATCACGATATATTGTGATACATTCAGCCAGACGATATTAGCGATTTTTTTAGACTGGATTTGTCATGTGCCGGGGTGAGCACTCCTCTCATTGTTTCCATCTTTGAGCTGCTGTGTTTCAGGAGAGGGAGGCTCCGGCTGCAGCTCATTAACAATCAGCGGGTCCAGCTACAAGAAGAG